TGCAAGGACTATGCTTAGCGATTCAAATCTTCCAAAATACCTTTGGGTAGATGCGATAAGCATGACATGCTACTTAAGTAATAGAGTTATTATTAGACCTATTTTAGAAAAGATCCCCTATGAACTTTTTAAAGGTAGGAAACCAAACATTTCACACTTTCATATTTTTGGTTGTAAATGCTTTGTCCTAAACAACGACAAAGATAATCTTGGTAAGTTTGATGAAAAATCCAATGAAGAAATTTTTCTAGGATATTCTCTTACTACCAAGGCTTATATAATTTACAACAAAATAACTTTAACAATCAAAGAATATATGCATGTGTCATTTGATGAATCTAACCCCTCCAAGGAGGAAATTATTTTGTGGGATGATGATGATGATTTTGTAGATGTTCCTAAAGAAGATACTTCAATAGCAAACAATGACAATCAACTGAAACATCGAGAAGAACCAATTCAAAAATAATCAAAGGATAATGATCTACCTAAGGAATGAAGAATCCATCATAATCATCCAATTGATAAAGTCATTGTTGATATAAAGTCAAGGTGTTACAACAAGGTTGAATCTTAAGGATGCGTGTCTAAACATGGCGTTATTCTCACAAATTGAACTTTCTAAAGTCAAAGATACCCTAGATGATAATAAATGGATTTTAGCCATGCAAGAAAAGCTTAATCAATTTGAAAGAAATCAGGTTTCGGATTTAGTTCCTAGACCAAAAGGTAAACATATTATAGGAACTAAATGGATCTTTAAAAATAAGCTAGATGAAAATGGTATCATTATTAGGAATAAGGCAAGATTAGTTGCCCAAGGCTATAATCAAGAAGAAGGTATAGATTTTGAGGAAAATTTTTCCCTTGTTGCTAGACTAGAAGCAATTAGATTATTGTTAGCATATGCTTGTTCTTTGAATTTTCAGTTGTACCAGATGGACGTTAAAAGCGCATTCCTAAACAGTTACATACTTGAAAAAGTTTATGTAAGTCAACCTCCAGGATTTGAAGATTTCAAACATCCTAATCATGTGTACAAACTCAAAAATGCCTTGCATAAATTAAAGCAGACACCAAGGGTGTGGTATGATAGGTTAAGTAATTTTCTATGTGAAAATGGTTTCGGAAAGGTAAAGTTGATACTAATATTTTTATTAAAAGAATTAACCACCATACTATCTTAGTGCAATTTTATGTAGATGACATCATATTTGAATCAAAAAATGAATCCCTGTGTGAAGAATTCTCATCAATCATGCAAGGAGGATTTGATATGTCCATGATGGGTAAGTTGAACTACTTCCTAGGGTTGCAAATCAAACAAATAAAGAATGAGATATTCATCAATCAATCTAAATATTGCAAAGAACTTCTCAAAAGATTCGACACGGACAATTGCAAGGCTATGGCTACTCCTATGGGATCCGAAATTTACGTTGATCAAGAAGAAGCAGGTGTTTCAATTGATGTTACAAAATATCGAGGTATGATAGGATCATTACTATATTTGTCGGCAAGCCGTCCTGACATTATGTTTAGAGTGTGTCTATGTGCTCGGTATCAAGTTAATCCAAGGGAATCACATCTTGCCTCGGTGAAGAGAATCATGAAGTATCTTAAGGGAACAACGAACTTCAGATTATGTAGGGTGTAAAACAGATCGAAAATGCACAAGCGGAACCTGTCATATTCTTGGAAACGCTCTTGTATCATGGTCCTTTAAAATGCAAGCATGTGTGGCTCTCAGTACGGATGAAGCATAATACATTGTTGCGGGAAATTGTTGCGCTCAAATCCTTTGGTCAAAACAATAACTTAGTGACTACGGCGTGAACCTTGGATGCATTCCATTAAAGTGTGATAACACAAGTGCCATAAACATCACTAAAAACCCACTCATGCACTCGAGAAAAAACATATAGACATTCGACATCATTTTCTTTGAGATCTTGTGCTTAAAGGCGATGTTGAAGTCTTATTCGTGGATACACATAATCAATTAGCTGACATCTTCAGAAAATCTCTCGCAAAGGAATCTTTTTATAAAATTCAGCGCGAACTTGCTATTTTAGATGAATGTGACATATGATTCTTCAAAATTTATTCATTATAATCAAAAATGAATCAAAGGTACACTCAAATTTTCATTTTTATAATTTGTTTAAAATTTCATGTATATAAATTTGACATGAGTATTACAAAAATTCAATTTTTATGCCTTTAATTATATTTATATGACATGTATGCCTTATTCAAAGTTGCCTAAGTATATTTAATAATATGCCCAATTGGTATAATTTCAAAATTCATTGCATGTTGTTAGTGGTGAAGTTACTGTTTTTTTCGTGTGGTAATCGGTTACCCATATTTGGTTAACAAGTTACATGCATTCCTTTTTGCCTGCTTTAAGCGTTTTACGTTGATGTAACCGGTTACACCTTTTTGGTTAACCGGTTACCATTGTTGCGAATTGTGAAAAATATTTATATTTTTATGACATAAAATTGTGGTGTTAATATATTTTAACTTATGTGAATAAGTGCTTATTTCTTTTTCACTTTCCAACATCTTTCTTGGGGCTCATCTCTCTTCGCACTATTCAACTCTATTCTTTCAACTTCTTATTTCCTCATTAATTTTCTTCAACCAAAATTAAAACCTATTATTTCCCTACTCATAATTCTTCTTTATATTTAACTCTCGCTTCATCCAAACATCTTCAAACCTCTTTAAAGAAAAATCTGAAAATCAATTTTCAAAATCCTAACTCCCAAAGCTTCTTCCATGGCTCCTACAAGATGAGAAAAGGGAAAGCAAACTATCTCTGAACATCATGATGAAGCTGAACAACATGCGCCTTCTACCAAAACCAGAAGGTTTACTTTTGATATTCGGAGTCGGTCGTTAATGTCGGTAAATTATGCTAAACTTTCTTCCATTCCTAATCACAGTTTCATATTTCTAGAACTGCTGAAATTCCAAGGTGTTAATAAGCTAGTCTCTAATGTTAGACATTATTATATCGATTTGGTCAAAGAGTTTTTCACAAATCTGTCTGTTATGGTTGATGATAAAGATATGCATATTAACTTCTAAGGTTAAGAATACAGATATTTCTATGGATTTAGAATCCTTTGAAAACTATTTAGGAATTCTCTTTAATGGACAACCTATTCGTCAAGGTTTTACTCTAGATTCTTCGGAATGGGGTAAGTACAAGAAAATGGATTATTTCTTTAGTATATGTCATGCTAGCGAAGATGTGGTGTTGAGCAGAAGAAATCCAGTTTCCTCTAGGGTAACCTTGTTTGCTAAAAATTTGTTTGTGAGCGATCGAATGCTACATTATATTATTGTTTATGTCTTGACGCCTAAACATTTGAACAATTCTCAAATTGGAGACACTGAAATGCAACTCATATTTGCCATCAAGAATAAAATTAAGATCAATTATGAGTGTACCATAATGTATCACATGCTTCACCGATAAGGTCATAGTGGAGGATTACCTTATGCTCGGATAATTTCAAAAATTATGAAATCATGTGTTCCATGATAATTTCAAAAATTATGAAATCATGTGTTCCATACCAGAATTTTTATTGAAATGTTCTGCACTTAATTTCATTGTAAAGTTATCGTAAGTTTTACTTCATACATTGTGAACAGTTGTATATCATTAAAGGAATTGTATGCTTGAAGAAGATCAATTAAGAGATTGATACATTGTAATTTTCATTTCAAACTCTTGTAAAAATTCAGAATACTTGTTGTAATCCTTACTGTCCAAGATTGTTGGAAGCAAGAAGTTCATTAAAGGAGGATTGTTCTTTGGTGATTTTGTTAGTGTCTGTATAGGAAGACTGAGATAATCTTGTATAAGTCCTAACAATAGTAAAATCTCTTTATTGTTGAAAGGAGACTGGAATACTCTCGAATTGTGAGAAAAATTAGAATATTTCTCAAGGTTCTTTATCTTTCTGCACTTTATCGCTTTCATCACTTAAAATATAAATCAGAAAAATAAGATGACATAGGTTAAAAACCAGAAAAAAAATTAAAGCTCCCTACACATTATGTCGCTAAGATGAGAAACTCAATGGTAACATAGGTTCAACAAAATAAAGGACTCCATTGTCACCCTTTATAATTATTTTATCGGGTCAATTGCACAAACACCAAAGAAGTCATCCTCTATTACACCATTGATATTTGTCAGTTTTTCACGCCAGAACTGCAGAAGAACTCAACTACCCATTAAGATTCAAGAGATGAAACTGAATATAGTAGTATATACTAGTCTCTGCAATATTTTAACCAATTTTCTAGTGTTTCCTCGTCAAATTCTCATCTCATTCATCTCAATACTTCCTTCACTAATTTTTATATCATAATTGACAAAGAAAGAACAATAAAATTCTATTATATCATGTGTAAAAGAATCAGAATAAACACTGATTACACAGACATGAATCTGTATCTATGATAGAAATAAAAAAGAAAAAACTTCAAATCCAAACCTATGAGTAAGCATCAGACTATGCAGTACAGACAAACACTCAATATTTTGCCAGGAATTAATGAAAATAATAACAGGTCACTAGCAATTAGTAAAGTGTGACATAGTGATGTCAACAATCCAGAAGTGCAATATGATAAAAGACATAAACCAATCAAATATAAAAGCAACGAGACAGAGATCAAAATCGATTTGCTACAAACCTGTCCTGGTGTTTGGATTACAGTTTGCAAACCAGGCTGAATGAGGGGGAAAATTGAACTAGTGTGTATTAAGATTAAGATATAGATAGTTAGAGAAAGAATAATAGGCTACTTTTTTTAATTTTAAAAGAAAAAAAATACTATTCTTTTCTGTTAAATGGCTTTTACCCATAGTGGACCATGTGATGTAATCATACACCCTATATACTACATGCTCTACCATCCTCAAAAGGTACAATATGCTAATAGAGGAAATATATGGACACAAATATTCACTATTCACTGAGGTTGCAAACTTGAAGATATGGATTGTCAAACATAACATATTTGGACCAGAACGATTTATACTTGGAAACAGCAAGATTTAACCATGGCTTGTAGTTTCCGTTATAGTGAACAACAGCGGCATTCTCTATCTCCGTTAAGTTCAGAGCCGGATCATAGCCAAGTCCCAAAACATGCCAACCCCGATCTAGCGGATAGGTCAGATTATAAAAGGTGATTAAGCCTGGGGGTAAGGTTCCAAGCTTCCAGAGGGTTCTATCCTCATTCTGCAGAGAAGAAAAACAATAAATATAGTTCTGATACGAAGAAATTACTATCTACAAGCAAAAAACAGTTAGACATAGCTTTATGGTTATTGACTTTGATGCCTGAAAGTTAAGGGTAAGATATACACATAGAAATCTTCAGGCAAACAATTCATTACATGATATTCAGAAAACACAATGGATTAAAATAAGGCAAATAATTAGGTATATTTTGACAAATCTAATGGGAGGAATTAAGAGTCGTGAATTTTACCAAATCTTGCCACCGATGATAGATTCCGGTGATATTTCGTTTCTTCCACTCCTTCAAGTCAAAGACATTCATGCCAAATGCCCAACCACATGCATCGGGACTGAAATTATTGGAGATCAGTGGATTACTAAAATTTAGGTATTTATCAAACCTATGGAAGCTCTCCTTGCATGTCTCTACTGCACCGATCACCATACCTTTCAAATCAATTGACCAAAGAGGTGTCAAATCTTTCTGCACGACAATGTCATCATCCAAAAATAGAATTTTGTTCAATTTTGGATAAACTTCGGGAAGGTAGAACCTTAAGTGATTCAGCATTGACAAATATTTGGGATTCCTATATTTTAGATTGTCAGAACCAGCAGAGAGAGAGGAAGGATGATTGGCTTTAAAGTAATACTCCTTGATTCTTGCTGATTCAAGTTGACGTAAAACAGAACAATACGAGGAATTCAGCCACTTGAAATCATCAATATTCTGAACTTCAATGGTTGCTTTAGAAGGAGGGTTGATGAGAAACCACATTCTCATTGATGGGAAATTTAATTTGTCAGTTACTATATGGAATACATGCTTCTCAGGCTTGTTTGCATTTTGCACAGTAGAATTAACAACCACGGATGCAGCCAGTACATTATCAGAAAAGATAGCATAGTGGTAAAGAGATGGGTCTTCAATCTTTTCCTTGCCAAGATTTCCTTTCTTATGATAGCCCTGTAGGTAATAATCAGCTGCAAGTTGCAGGGGAAGACAATGCAGTGGTCTAGGCACTGTTTTAGCAGCTAGCTGAATCAAGGATGCACTTCTTTTCTTCTGCAAATTCACTCTATTTTCGGTTGATTGAAGCATCGCCCTTAACTTCCTTGCCACTACAATGCAGTCATAAAGTCGGTCCTTTGCTACAGAAAGAACGTGACCCATAGCTTTTGCCCAATTAAGTGCTCTAGCAAAGGCAATAGATAGAAAACTTATCATATGTAAACTGAAACAAGCTTATTAGTCTAAGAAACAAGACAAAGTCTATAACAAAATACCCAGTCTGAAGCTCGGCATCAGAATTTGCATCTCCAATAGCTAGTTTACTATCTCTGGAGTGTTTGACAAGAGCTTCATAAAGAGTAGTTTTGTTCTTAGACTTTGCAATATTGGAATAAGCTTTGGCCATTATTATTTGGTCTCGCATGAGTTTAAGAGTTGAATCAGAATTTGGGTTTTCATATTCTTTCCTCCATATACTATACTTTCCAGTGATAGTGGTATCAAATCCTTTGGAGCGTTCAATTGCTGCTGATACAATACGATTGTCCATTTCTTTGTTTTGCTGACTAAGTTCAGCAGCACGAGCTTTTCTTCTTTCCAGACGCATTATCTAAGGGATAGGAAACTATTTAAAAAAAAAAAAAACCAACAACGACAAAAAAAATGGAACAAAACTATTTCTCGTTCCCCTATCATTCATTGTTTGGCTGCTTAGTTCCAAAAGACAAATTTGGATTATTACCCGGCGCTTGATCTTCGCCGGAGTCATTGGTGAGGAATGGGGAATTCGAGCAAAGCCTTCTTCAGGATCATGTTCATCTGCTGAGTGTTTGAGATTGTCTTCAAATCTTGAATCAGTTTGTACTGACTCCATTCCTCCCTGTATTTATATCGGATTGTAATTATTACCAGATTCAAGGGTCATCACTCACCAATAACAATAAAATACAAAAAACAAGTCAATTTGAAATCAGAGTCAAAACTTCATACACTTGAAGCAAGAAATCGAAATCCAAAGTTAAATACATCGCAGCGGCTCATGTTTTCAGCAAAGACAAAGTACCTGGGAGTAATTTTGTTGTTCAGAGTTAGCATTACTAGGGTTTTCCCAAACCCAGGAATCCGATAAGTCCCTCAATTTCAACCTAGCAAGCCGAATATGACCGGAAGCATCGCTATACGTTGCAATTATATCAATATCCTACACAAAATCATTACTATTGAACAACGACACAATCATTACAATCATTATCATAAATAATCAAATAAATAACATCAAATAATACCTTTTCATCCGGATAATTTCGGTTTCTAGATGTAGTAACATCAAATTCCTAAATGCAACAAATAGGAAGATACAAATTAGCTAAAAAGTTGAAGTAAAAACTACTTAAGTCATAATCTTAACACTAAGCAAGATGAAACGCACCTTGGGGCGATGACATTGGTCACAGGATCCTCTGCAGAGAGAAATAGATAAAGTTAGTAACATGTTATATGAATTATTATTACAAAAGCAAAGAGAATTGAATAGTCACATGGTTGTGGAATCTGCAACACGATGGAGAAACAAAACCTGCAAAAGAAATGGAAATGTAAGGGGAAAGCGTAAACCCTAGAAATCAAATGGTAAAGGAATCGGAGAGAATTGACATGAGAAGTAATTACCGAGAAGAAGAAGATGAAATTAAGCAGTTCCATGCGAGTGAGGTGAAATTGAATCTTACTGTGTCATCACTGTGTTCATCTATTTGGGTTTAGATCAGATCATACAGATACTCATTGTTAGTTGTGTTCCCATTTCTTTATTTCTAGTATCATAGCTTTCTTCATCCTCTTACCCCCGAAGACCAAACGACTAATTTCTATATTAATAAAATTGGGAAAATTGTTTAATATACATATACTATTTATTTTAAATATAACAATATGAAAAATTGACATAAGAACTAAACCTATATATATATATATATATATATATATATATATATATATATATATATATATATATATATATATATATATATATATAATTTAATAAAAAATCATTGCAGCGAAGGATTGTCAAAGATTTTTAGAGTTGTGGTGTTAGAATAAGTTCACACAAGAATTGTGAGAAACTTTGTAAATGATGTTTTTATGTAATAAATTTAATGTTCTTTCAACCTCAAGGTTGAGGTATTTATAAGATCTCGTGGATTTGGGTCTCAGACCCCACTAAGATAGATTTCACATTTTTCATTCTCATGAGCGTAGGAAAGAGGGTAGTTATTTCTCTTGTTTCCTTGGGGGACGTGGATACATTCACTTGACTCTTTCAGTCATACCTTTATAAATTGGGACATGTCACCTCCACGTTTTCACAAGAAGACAAGTGGTATAAGAAATGGGTGTTGTAACCAAATGACGGATGTTTGTTCTAATAAATGAGTGGCTAGGAAGATGTTGCAAGCGACAAGTTTGCCCACCCCTTACTTTTATCTTCACCTCCTTGTCATTCACGATTTTAGGGATTTTAATACCTTTCACTTTGTTTGAAGTCGAGTTTCTAGTGACTACAGATACCGCTCCTTCTCAGGTTACACCAAACGTCTATAACGTGATTAGGGTGTTCAAAGTTATATGTCGGTGATTAGAAGTCCTCTCTACCGTTGGGTATTCTTCTATTTCTGTGGTGCCAAAATCAACGCCAAAAGTGGTTAGGTGACCTTATATGCCTTATCTGGAAGGAAATTGTTCAAGTATCACTCAAAAACCTACAAAAATCGGAAGAACAAGTTCGCGAGAGTTTGAGAGAGAGAGAGAGAGAGAGATTGTGCCTCTATAGTCATGGTCAGGGTGAATGATGTCACTTGCTTTCCATTGTTGTGGACGTGAGATCAGGAGATCATCATTGACTTTTACTTTGACTACCTCACCTCAGTTGAGCAAGAGGTGGTTTAAGTGTTGAATGACTATGAAGTCATGAGTTCTCGCACCATGATTACTCTAGATCATGGAAAAGATAGTAGGATAAATGAGTACGTTGGTGAGTTTATGGTCAATAATACATTTATTTTGAGATTGTTTATTCGTTACAACACATATATATTTCTTGGGCCTTTCTTGCAGTGAAAATGCCTAAAATTCATATGGATGAAAGGAAGGAGTGTTTGGCTAGGAAGAAGGTTGAGCGTCAACTAACAAACATCCCTAAGAGCTACCAATGTGGCCTAATGACAAGAGAGGTAAAAAAGACATATCGAGGACCACACCCCTAACGTTGTTCGCCCCCATAAGATCTAAAAACAAGGTGAGGGTCCTTCTCAGGTTCCGAAGGATGGTTAGATGGCAATCCTTGAAGAAGATAAGGCAGGGGACTCATTGCCAGCAAAGGATGCCCCCCCTCTCCCCCGGTTTTCTATGTGGAATGATCATGCATTTAACGTTATTCATTAGAACTCACATCCCCTTTCCCGAGGACTTTCGTGTTTACTACAGGGGCCTTCATAATATATCTCCCATCAAGTTTTCGAGCATGACATGAAACCACCTATTAAAAGGCCTCCTGATGGAGCGACATCAATAAGAAAAATATGTTAAAGTCGTTAGTGAGCTGAAATCTTAGCTCTTTGTGGCCAAGGGAAGCGCCACCTTAAGCTAAGAGAGGGTAAGGACCTTACTATAAGAAAATGAGGATTTAAAGTCCCTTCACAAAATGGTGGCGCTAAAGGCATATGCCCTTGCTAACTTAGAAAAAACTAAAAGGGTCTCTAAATAGGGTCCTTAATTCTCTAAAGAAATTTGATAAGGAGTTACTCACACTCAAGGATGAATCAGTGAAAATCTCTTACTAGTATTTTGAGCGGGCGAAGGAGCAAATAGTCGTATTCCATCTTGGGTTGGATCTGAGCCAAATGGACTTATTAAAGATGGTCTGTGACGACCAGTTGATGGAGGGGGAGGAGGTTCATCCCTTTAGAGAGGTTGATACATTTCTTAGTGAGGTCGCCAAGACTAAGAACAAGGGCAACAAGGCATCAAAAGACATTCTTGAGGGAGGCGCTAGCCACCTGTTGCACCCTAAAATTTGACCAACCGGTTCTCCTATCTGACTCGTGGTTTAAATTCATATTCGCAAATCAGACGCATGATATTTGTGCACAGACAGAGGATATCAGAGTTACGGCATGGGTTTCATTTACTAGCTATGGCAGATCCAGTCCAGATCATCAGGGTTTTATTTGTGGGAAATTGCGCGCTCTTCGGTGATTTTTAGCTTGCATAGTGACTTTGGGATATTCTGATGCCCGGGGTTCTCTGTTCGATTCAATCTGGTCTCGTGCGCTCTTTTATGGTGGTCGTTTGCATTTGTCTGCATTTTTTAGGGTTTTAATAGACTTTTGTGGATTTTTAAATAGGCATTTTAATCATTTTTAGGATTTAAATAGATTGTCTAGCATTTTAAATAGTTTAAATCTCTTTTTAGAATTTTATATAGATTTTTAAAATAGGTTTAGTAGTTTTTGTCATTTTTAGAATATGATAGATTTTTAAATAGTTTTAATTGTTTTAGATAATATAGAAAATATATAGATTTTTCTTTTATGTTAATAGGGATTTTAATAGTTTTAAATAGAGATAAATAAAATTTGTTTTAATATAGTTTTTCTTTTAAATAGATATTATAAAATGGTATAGACTTTTGTAGAATTTTAATTAGTAGAAGTTTATTAATATAGAGTTAATTAGATTTTTAATCACTTTTTAGATTTAATTAGGATTTAATCTTTTAGTAGGGTCAATTGAGTTCATTTAGTTAATTGTTTTAGAGTTAGTTAGGTTTAATTTTTGATTAATTTTTAATTAGGTCTAAGCATTTTTAATTCAGAATTATTAATCAGTTTTTTCAGTTTTTTTAGGGTTTTTGTCCAGTTTTTCGTTGGGCCCAGGAAGCAGTTTTTTGAAGCCCAAGTCATGTTTGCAATCCAGTTTTTGTCCAGAATTCTGCAAGTGACACTTGTCACTATAAGAAGGGCGCCACATGTTGCACTCAGAGGGGACCAACACACACCACAGAAACTCCCAAAGTCTGCCACGTTTCAGACTCTTTCTCTCTCCCACTCAGGCCACGCGCCACGCGTCCCACTCACAGCCTCTCCCATGCCACTTGTCGCCGCGTCGCTTCCCCTCTGAGAACTCGTCGCCGGGCATGCAAATCCGGTGACCGCCCCAACGGCCACCGTCTAACCGTCTCCGGCCACCGTCCTTGCCGGAAACTGCAAAAAAACCCAGAATCATCCAAACCCTTCGTTCTTCTCCAACCTTCCTCCGTCCGCCTTCATCCACTACCTCACCGGAAAACCTAAACACCGCCGGGAACTTCATATAATTTTCCAGATCATCGAATCTCCCTCGCGTCTCAAGAATAATTTTTCCAGAACCTCATCAAACATTCATCGTTCATCTGGAATTTCCAGAAACCTCCATCAACCAACGAACACGATCCGTCAACAACCTTCGAAGATGATCCTCGTGGTTCGTCCTCCCTCATCAAGATATTCAAAGATCTTCTGAAGATCTTCCTCAGAATATCCAAGCAACTCAAAGGACCTTCAAGATCTGTCAGCTTCGGAATCATCGTCTTCATCAGTTCTTGAAGTTTTCTTCCTAGATCTTCATAGAACTCATTGAGTTCTTCACTGTTTGCCCAGAAATCTTCGAGCAAGCGTCAACGTTCCCTTCAAGACCTCCGCGAGCCCATTCAGTAGTCAAGAAAACGCCAAGATCGTCTTCTCTCTCGGCGACCTTCACTGAGCCTTCAAGGGATCCCAGAACTTCATCGTCTCAGGTTTGTTCCTTTCTCATAATCTCCATTGTTGTTCATGCACTAGTATAGGGTTTCTTGTTTTGAGAAGTAAGATTTTAGGGTTGATTTATAGAGTTTGAGCTGAGTGAAGGTTGTTTGGGGTTTTTCTCGAAATGGATTGCAGAGAGGGTGAGGAAGACGAAGACGAACGGCTAGGGTTTGAGAGCATGAACAGTGATCTGAGTTTGGAAGGGGAAATTAGGTTTTGTTAACTGGTTAGTTGGGCTAGGGTTTGGGCAGCGTTTGGGCCCAAGATCCATTTTACTGATGCACCCTCATTTTACTCGTTCACCCTCCCCTGCGTATGAGGAGCAGAATGAAAATGTGGATTGGGCTTAGGCCCAGAGTGCTATTCGCACCCCCCGTAGGTAAGCCCATCTGGATGAATAACGTGAAATTCGCTTACTGCACCCCCATGTGTTTTTTTTCTTTCTGTTTTTTATTAGTTGGTTTCTGATTCATATTGGGCCTGTGCCCACTGCTATTCGCACCACCCATCTTCTGGCCCACATGGAAAACAACTGGGCGCAGTCACTTTTAGCACCCCCCTCCTCTTTTATTTCAATTTTGTTTTTTTAATTTCTTTTAATACTTTCTTGCATATTGTAAAATTCATAAGAAAATGAAAACAATTGATTTTTGATTTCTTGTTTTTTCTACCACTTCATGAAAATGTCTAGAAAATCATATAAAAATAAAAATGCCATTTTATTTTTGTTTGCTATTTTTAGCATATTTTCCATTTAAATGCTTTTTTTTAATATCTTTTAGGTCATGCATATTATTAGAAAATTCATAAAAAATAGTAGGTTTAATCAAATAGTTCCATTCTTTTTTCTGTAGACTCGTAATT